CAGGGGTGAGGGGGGTGGGGGTGGGCTCTGCGGTGAGGGTGTGTTCTGCTGCTGCTGCTGCTGCTGCAGCAGCAGCAGAATGGAGGGGTGTGTTCTGCTGCTGCTGCTGCTGCTGCTGCTGCTGCTGCTGCTGCTGGACTTACCCCCTCTTCGCCGACGAGGCCCAGCTTGGGCTTCTCTGTTGCTGCAGGGGCCCCCTTGTTGTCTCCGCCGTCAGCAGCTTCTTCCGAAGGCAGCAAATCCAGCGGCTGCAGAAAGGAGACAGACACCCCACACCCCACACCCCACCACCTCACACCCAGCTAGCTAGCTAGCTAGCTAGCTAGCTAGCTAGCTAACTAGCTTTCGTCTAGTGTCTCCTTTTGTCGCTAACTCGAGTGCCTCCAGCTGCACTGTGCTGCTGCTGCTGCTGCTGCTGCTGCTGCAGCTGCCTCTGCTTTTGCTGCGCCGCCTCTGCTGCTGCTGCTGCTGCTGCTGCTGCTGCTGCTTACGAGAGCAGCAGCAATGGAGACGGGCATGTGGGGCCTGTGGTCTTCGTGGTGGCACTGGAGACAAAGTGTCCCTTTTGCTGCTGCTTTGCAAACAGCATCAGCAGCAAAAAAGGCCTTACAGGGCTGACACCAGCCCCGCCGGTGCCGCTCCAACGCGTACTGCTGCTGCTGCTCCCGGCTCTCAGCTTTCTTCGCCTGAACGCCCAACCTGCTGCTGCTGCTGCTGCTGCTGCTGCTGCTATGTTGCGGTGGAGGGAAGCAGCAGCAGCAACGGCAGCAGCAGCAGCAAGAAAAGAGCAGCAGCAGCAGAAAGAACAGCAGCAAGAAGAGCAGCAGCAGCAGAAAGAACAGCAGCAAGAAGAGCAGCAGCAGCAGCAAGAAGAGCAGCAGCAGCAGCAAGGAGAGCAGCAGCAGCAGCAGCAAGAGCAGCAGCAGCAGCAGGAAGGCTGACCTTGTCCTTTTTGGCGCCCGGGGCCTGCTTCTGTGCTGCTGCTGCTGCTGCATCGCTGGCGTGGGCCGGGTCGTGGCAGAAGGAGCAGCTGCTGCCTTTGCTGCAGCTGCTGCTGAGGTGGTCTTGGCAGGGGAGACAAGTGCCAGCTTTGTGCTGCCGCTCCACTTGCTGCTGCAGGCTGAAGTCTCCTGCTGCTGCTGCCACTGCTGCTGCTGCTGCTGCCACCGCGGGCGACACCTTCCGCTCCTCCTCCTCCTGCTTCGGCTCCGCAGCAGCAGCAGCAGCAGCAGCAGCAGACTCTCCACTTTGCTGCTCCTCCTTCGGCTGCGGGGACGCGCTGCGGCTGCCCCGCGCCTGCCCTGCTGCTGCTGCTGCTGTCTCCTTGCCCTGCTGCGTCTCCGTCTCCTTTGCTGCTGCTGCAGCAGCAGCAGCGGGACTGATGGCGTCCGTCTCCTCTGGCTTCACCTGCAGCAGCAGCAGCAGCAGCAGCAGCAGAAAAGCAGCACCACCATCAGCTCCCAGCAAGGCGGAGAGACAGACAAGAGGCCCACAAAAGGGCCACACAGAAGCGGCAGCAAAAGCAGCAGCAGCAGCAGCAGCAGCAGCAGCAGCGCAGCAGTCCCCTCCCCTCCAAAGACAGACAACGAAGCAGCTCCCACCCACACAAGACCCCCCCCAAGCAGCAGCAGCAGCAGCAGCAGCAGCAGCAGGGGGCTAGCTCCGCGCCCACGGCGCCCCAAACAACCGCAGCAGCAGCAGCAGCAGCAGCAGCAGCAGCAGCAGCAGCAGCAGACCTCGCTGGGGCGGCAGAACATGGGGTCGTGCTCGGCGTGGTGGCAAAAGGGACAGGAGACAGAAGAGAAGCAGTCGAGGCCCCGCAGCACTTGGGGACAGGGGCGGCAGCGGCCCTGGCGGTGCAGCAGCTGCTGCCGCTCTTCGCCGCGGGAAGAGCCTGCTGCGAAGCGGCGGCGGCCTGCTGCTGCTGCTGCTGCTGCTGCTGCTGCTGCAGCAGGGCTTCCTGCAGCAGCAAACGGGCTCCGCTCCGACGCCGTCAGCGACGAGGAACGCGAACGCGACCGCGAGCAGCTGTCCCGCGCGTACATGCCCTGAGCAGCAGCAGCAGCAGCAGCAGCAGCAGCAGCAGTAGCAGCAGCAGTAGCAGCAGCAGCAGCGGCGGGCGGGGCGGTGAGCTGCGGCGGAGACAGACCGCCGCGGGAACAGACGCAGCAGCGCACAGCCGCAAACCCAGCAGCAGCAGCAGCAACAGCAGCGACGACTGCAGCAGCAGCAGCAACAACTGCAGCAGCAGCAGCAGCAACTGCAGCAGCAGCAGCAGCAGCAGCTCACCCTGCGGGGGCCCCCGCCCCTCCTGTGGCGGCCCCTGTCCCTGTCCCTGTCCCGGGGGGCCCCCCTCGGGGGGGTCCTGGAGGCCAGGCGCCTCCTGGGGGGCCCCCTTCTAGCAGCAGAAGGGGACCTGGAGTAAGAGGGGCCCCTCCAGGGCCTCCTGCGCTGGCGGTCCCTGGGGGGCCCCCCTCGAAAGGGTACAGTACCCTCGTAGCGGCCCCTGCGGTGCCTGCCGGCCCCGGGGGGCCCCCCGGGGGGCCCCCAGGGGCCCCCGGGGGAGCCGCGGGAGAGGCTGCGGTAGCGGCGGCGCGGGGAGGGGCTCAGGGAGCCCCTGGGGCCCCCCGCTGCTGCTGCTGCTGCTGCTGCTGCTGCAGCAGACCTGCTGCTGCTGCTGCTGCTCGGCTGCGGGTCCCCCGGGGGAATCAAAAAGACATCTATTCTTTTGCCCTGCAGCAGCCGGCGGTGCATGCGGAACTGCGCAGTTTCTGCTGCTTCTCTGGAGTGCAGCGAAACGCATGCAAACAAGTGCTGCTGCTGCTGCTGCTGCTGCTGCTGCTGCTGCTGCGGGTCCCCGTCCTGCTGCTGCTGCGGCAGCAGCAGCTGCTCAGGGGCCACGCGGAGGCCCCCGTCCCGCAGCCAATCCAAAATGTCTCCTTTGGAGACACTTCGCGGGAGGCCCTCCAGCCGTACCCCCCAGGGGCCCCTGGGGCGGGAGGGGGGCCCCCAGGGGGCCCCCCTGTCTCTGGGGTCTTTGAGTTTGTCTTTGAAGTCTTTTTCTCTTTCTCGAAAGTCCCTTTCTCTTTCTCGGAAGTCCCTTTCTCTTTCTTTGAAGTCCCTGTCTCTGTCTCTGTCTCTCAACTCCCGCTCCCTGTCTCTGCTGCTGCTGCCCCAGCAGCTGCTGCTGCTGCTGCTGCCCCAGCAGCTGCTGCTGCTGCCCTGCTGCTCCGCCCTGCTGCTCTCCCGCCGCCGCCGCCGCTCCGTGCTGCTGCTGCTGCGCCGCCGCCCCTCTGCTGCTGCTGCTGCTGCTGCAGCAGCAGGAGACCCCCGCCCGCGGTACCCAAGACCATTGGACTCCAGGGGCCCCCGCGGAGACGGGGGGCCCCTAGAGGGGCCCCTCGAGGGGCCCCTGGAGAGGCTCCTGGAAAGGTCCCTAGAGGGGCCCCTCGAGGGCCCCCTGGAGGGGCCCCTGCCCCTTGAGGGCCCCCTAGAGGGCCCCCTGCCTCTAGAGTACCCCCTAGAGGGGCCCCTGCCCCGCGAGTACCCTCTAGAGGGGCCCCTGGAGGGGCCCCTAGAGGGGCCCCTAGAAGGGCCCCTAGAGGGGCCCCTAGAGGGGCCCCTGGAGGGGCCCCTTGAGGAGCTTCTGCGGCGGTCAAAGGAGACACTTCGGCTGGCGCTGCGGTAGCGGCGAGGGGACAGGGAGCGGGGGGCCTCCCTGCTGGCCCAGCGGCCGCGGTCCTGCTGCTGCTGCTGCTGCTGCTGCTGCTGCTGCTGCTGCTGCTTGTAGGGGCGGTGGCAGTGGCGGGGGGTAGACACAAAACTCAACTCGCCCTCCTCCCTTTGGGGGGCCCCCCGAGACCCCACAGAGGGTTCGGGGGCCCCCTGGCGTCTGCGGGTATCGGGGGAGGCGCTGCTGCTGCTGCTGCGGCGGCGCAGCCGCTTGTTTGCTGCTGCTGCTGCTGCTGCTGCTGCTGCTGCTGCTGAGGGGCTGCTGTCCACTGCTGCTGCTGCTCCCACCTCGGGGCCCTCCATGTCCATGCCGAAGCCGTCCCTCTTCACTCTGCTGCTGCTGCTGCTGCTGCTGTCGGGCCCCGCCGCGCGGGGCGAGTCATCTGACACCATTTCTGCTGCTGCTGCTGCTGCAGCACCTGCTGCTGCAACTGCTGCTGTTGCTGCTGCTGAGTCGGTGTGGGGCCGCTGCTGTTGCAGCAGCGTCAAAATGGGGGGTCGGGCATGCAGCAGCTCCTGCCACCGCTGCTGCTGCTGCTGCTGCTGCTGCTGCTCCCCCTTGGTGCAAAAGTGCTTTATTAAACTTAGAGAGCCTTTTGCTGCTGAGGGAAACGGTAGGTGGGGAATAAAGCTGCTGCTGCTGCTGCTGCGCCAAGGAGAGGTGCGGCAGCGGGGCTGGCAGGGGGGGGCTGCTGCTGCTGCTGCTGCGGCTGCAGCTGCTGCGGCTGCTGCTGCTGCCGCTGCAGGAAAGAACCACAGAAAGCGAGGCCCCGAGACAAAAAGCAAAAATAAAATTAAGGAGCCCAAAAGGCGAAGCAGATTAAACCGACTGCAGCAGCAGCAGCCGCTGCTGCTGCTGCTGCAGCAGCCGCTGCTGCTGCCGCCGCGACCAGCAGCGCCGCTGCCGCTGCCGCTGCTGCTGTAGGCTGTGCTGCTGCTGCAGCCCTGCCCGCCCACACAGTTGGCTGCTGCTGCTGCTAGCGGCAGCAGCTATTATTGTTTTCCTCCATCAAAGAAAGTAAATTAAAAATGGATATTTGCTGCGGGCGAGCCCCTACACCTCCACTCGCAGCAGCAGCAGCAGCAGCAGCAGCAGCAGCAGGTGGTCCAGGCAGCAAACACACCCCACTACCAGCCCCAACCCTTCCGCAGCGGCTGCTGCTGCTGCCTTTGGTGTTTTGAAGTGTGCGTACACCTCAGCTCAGGCACTTCTGCTTTCTTCCCGGCTTCTTCGAGGGTTTAGGGTTTAGGGTTTAGGGTTTAGGGTT